AGCGTGGGGGAGCCGGTAAGGAGGCCGCGCAGCAGCCGCCTTCTGAAGAAGGTTGTGTGAGGGTTCTCAGCTGTTGGAGGCTGATTATTCAGATGTGGCCGAGTGGGATGTAACTCCTGCAAGGCAAACTTGAGACGTGGATTTTACCGACAGAGACGGGCAGGCAGCACCGGATGAGCGTGAAGAAGAAATGGGGGTAGAAATGTTCTACAGCTTCACATTTCTCAAGCTTCATTTAAGCCCTTGCTAAAAATAACTGTATTTGTTTAAATCCCATTTGCAAACAAGCATAAGTCATTATTAGCAACATTTAATACACACTTCTGTACTGCACAATTGAAGCAAACAGTTTTCAGGGCCAGCCGAGGTTGGGGTCAGCTAACAGGTCAGTGGCAGACAAAACCACTTAATGGTTCTCTGCCCCTGGCATTCTCTACAAAACCTACTCATAAAAGCTTCATAGGGGACATAGCTATTAGAAGTCCAGGTTCTAAAATCACCAGTCCAGAGCCACTGTGGAGGAGCAAGAGATAACCCACTTCCATAATTACTATTGCATTATTCAGCAACACAATGCAACTGTTGTACGTCCTCCAGTAGGGATTTCAAGGAGCAAGCTAGTGTAGTATACTGATGACTGTCATCATCAGGAAATACAGCACCGGAACATTCAAGCAACAAATACTAGCACAAATGAGGGGAGGATGCTCCTTCTGCTGTGTGTAAGATCCTGCATAGGTATTTGGGTTTGATATTTCAGTATAACATTACAGAAGCAGTACTAACAAGCCTGTGATAATCATATAAAATGCAAAAAGATTGAGAACATTCTTCCTAAGTCATGTCCTTCTTTCAGGTAGCAATTATGCATGCACAGAAAGGACAGCTTTCCTGACTCTGAGATGTAGAGCCTGCAACACATATAAGCAATGTATGATACCAGATGACTTCCAGTAAGTACATATGCATAAACATATTTATTTGTATAAACAAAAGCATCAAAATCATACAGCATCAAGACTTCAATAAGTTGGGGTTTTTTATTATCGTAGGATTTTTAAATCAAAACATTATTTCTTCATTATTTTTCTTTAGCTAGTGTGTTTTTACATCCTTTATTCAGTTCTCCAGCCATATTTCAGATTGCTGAAGCAATAAAGTATTGTCAAGATCATCCACACTTGGAATACGAAAGCATACAAGCTTATCTCCAAATTCCTTTACAGTCATTTAAACAACCTCTAAGTCAATAGTACCTTGCCATACACATTAATTTTGAGAAGCTCCTTAAATAATGTCATTCAAAAGCAACAACACTTGCACTTAAAACACACAAACATCTGCTGTTAGAAAAGTTACGTAAAACTACATATTAAAGAAACTTAGTACAGTTGACTGGGATTGTCTTTTTGACCAGCATGATTTTTGGGGGCCTATTTCTGACAGATTTGGAGAATTCTCAAGTTCTGTCAACTTGTAAAGTTGACATCATGTAGCACTATGCAGGAGACGCTCATTTACTGTCAGAATTAAAAATATACCTACTCATGCCCAATTACCTTGAAGAGAAACTGAAGAGAGATTAATGTGAACAAGAACAGCTCTTTGTCATGGAGGAAAGCAGTGGAGAAGCTATTTAAGACAAGGATACAAAGAGGATCCAGACTTCTGATGTCTAGGTTATACATAGCTTGTTTAGCAAGGTATGGATAAGTTACAGTAAGTCCACCAAGGTTCACTAAACATTTTTGCAGCACTCTGATCAGAATATAGTACTCATTATGCAGGACGTCTGGATACTCCTATTTCACTTTGCAGGTTAAAGCTTCCTTGCGTACAATTCTGGAAAAATACATTGCAAACCATGCCCAGATCCATTCAGGTAGGCGCTCACCCAGTGTGAACTGTGGAGAGGCACAGGGTGACAAAAGAAGAGAAAAAGAAGAAAGGAAGGGGCAGATTAATATATTCCATTAAAGTAAACAAACAGCTTCTCAAATTACCACTAAAGCAAGGCAAAGCCTGCTTGAACATCAGCAACTAAGCGTTAAATTCAACCCCCTGGAAGCAAATATATTTAGCCATTTTGGAAGTAGTGCCCACAGCTGAACAGTTAGGTTTTGCAAATAAATCCTGAAGTGGTTTGTTCAGGTTCGCAACAGCAATACTGTCCACTTCCTTTAATTGCCACATCTTGCCAGAACCCTTCTCGTCTCTTTTATTCCTTTTGGACTAATCCCCACTTCTTCAATTCCTTCTACTTGACCTAATGCTATAGAAAGCCACTAGGCAGGACACATGAGATGTGACCAACATTCATAACATTACTTTGGAGCCCACAGTCTGCCCCCAAATATGAAAACCTAACATATGGAGGACCTGCTTCCAGGGAGCTTGGGATAAAAATGTGGGCTTTTTTTTTTTTCCCTGCTATTATTCCGTCCTCCCTGCCCACTCTTCCCCAAAACAGAAATACACTCAATAAATTAAGACTGAAAAAAACTACTTCTGTTCATAGAAGACAGTGAAATGCTTGCCTAGTCAGCAACACCCCAAGTGAAATTAGATACTGTGTGCTTTTGAATAAAAAGTTGTCTCTCTCCCATTTTTTCTGCACATTTCAAATGGGAATTGGATTCACTCTCTCATTCTAAAAATAAGCATGCCCGAGCATAATTTTCTAAAGCAGAATTAGTAAGAAAATATGGCACAATGCCTTAAGTCCTACAATATATATTGCACTTTTTCAGAATATGAGCATAGTTTTCCTCCAGAGTCCTAAGAAAGTAAACAGCTTATTTACTTCTATTGACAAACATAAAATAGTTTAATGAATTCTATTACCTTTATTGCATGCTTCCAGTAACCAGTAGTCCTTGTGGATAACCCAAGAGTAGAAATAGCATGACTTGCATATTCTTCAGCAGAAGGAAAAAAGAAAGATCTCTCTGATGCAGTACTGCTGCATGCTACCATTTTTGTAGCAATTACAAATGGGGTTAAACTCTGAACAAAAATTCCTTTTGAGGCATACTCATAATGTAGTGCTCTACTGAAATAGTCCAAGTAGGTCTAGAAAGACAAAAACAGACACACATCTTTTTTCTTTTTTTTTTAAAAACAATCAAGTCTTAGGGCAGAGTTTTATTAAAATCACCAAAAAGTTGTAGCGTATTCTATACATCAGCTAAAAAAATAAAAGCTTGAATAAATAGTATAAAAATACACTTTTCTAAAGCATTACCAACATTTCTATTTGTTGTTATTTGTTTGCTAAAAACCTGCAACAGTATAGTAACTTGCAGGGCAAAGCAACTGCTTAACTCTCTAATGTGACATTAACAAATAATCTGACAATTTCTACTTAAAAACACTACAGAAACATTTATTTCATCTAAAACAAACCTTGTTTAGTGAGGGGGCATTGCAGGGGACGCTCCAAAGCTAACTATACATACTACTGTCAAAAGGACAAAATGAAGTCCCATTTTTTAATACATTTATAGGTGAATTTCATACTCAACTGATCTTCCCCAGATGCTCTTAATTACTTTCTGCAACTTCCTTGTGGAAAATTAAACATGCATTTGTTTATGAGTATCTGTATTGCCTCTTTTAGTTTACTTTACTTTTACAGAGTAACATAAAAAAGCACAAGCCTGGTAACTGGGATTGCTGGAATCAAACAGACAGGAAAATGAGCATGGGTCACTCTTAATCAAGGCACAGCCACTGAAACCATGCTGAAGCTACTGTGCACTGCTGTGCCATGCAGCCAGTTACCCCCAAGAAAGAGCATTTTAGACTCAGCTTGTGAGTGAACGGTTTCTACTCCCAAACCACCTTGCAAAAGTGCCATTCCCAGCAAACTGTTGGGAGAGCATCTTCTACAAATGCTCTTACACCTGCTTTAGGGAAACGAGCAAACCAACCACTTCAAACACCATACACTTTTAATGCACAAAGGGCTTAGGGTGCTAGAGCAGCTTGTTCCCACTTCTGTGCCAATGTTAACTGTACACAGGCCAGCCTTTGAACTGGATTGCTGATCTAGGATTTGGATTAATGATGGCAGCGAAAGGAAGAAACTTCGGTACACTTGCTTTTGTTCTGTTCTTTTTCATTCAGGCCTTTTAATCGTTTTAGTTCAGAGTGCAGTTCTACATACACTTAGCATAACCAAGGGGGGAAATACTCTGCAACAGAAACAGGAATCTTAAGCCAGTTTCCACACTGAAGAAAATCTGCAAGGAGTTTTGTACCTCGGGGTAGTAAGAGCTGGTTTTGCTCCAGGCAAAAGGAAGTACTCGCAAGGGCTATCCCAGGAGCAAGGCTGCACAGGGGTTAGGCTACACCAGAGGGCAGCCACCAACAGCTGGGAGCAATAACCACTTTGTGTTTAGACACTGGATCTAGGTGAGATTCTTCTACAATCTCAGTTGCTTTTGTAGATTCAGCAGCAAGTCATCCAGTGCAAATCTGCATCCCCACACGCATTCATATTTCCAGCATCACCCAGCTGCCTCATCCCATTCATTACTGACTGCATCTCCTCAGGAAGAATAATTACGGGGGGGGAAAGTTCTTTTCACTTCTCCCCAGATATGGTACAGACAGTGGTGTAGGAAGCCTTCTGCCCCTTGGTGTTAGGCGAAGCAGTGGCTTGATTTGGCCACTTCCCTTGTCACAGTGGTGGCTTGAGCACGAGTATAGCCCCTCTTGCTACCAAATACTAGTGTGTAAGTAGTTTGAGGTATGTCTGTACAGTTCAGCTGAAGAAGAGAGAGACTAAATTCTTGACCCTTTCAGTGGGTCACAGAACTGCCACTTTGCTTTGCACATCATTCCTGTGAGGAAGGTAACATTTTTCCTAGAACTACTCTTATGCCACAGTTCACATGTAATCCAAATAGCACTGACTTTGGTTCAAAGCCCAGTATTGGTGAGGATAAAGAGCTTACTGCATGTTACATGTAACATTTACCTCTAATATTTGAACAAATCCCTAGAAAACTTTTAAGTGTATTCTGATATCCTTGCTGAATGTGCTTACAACCAACCTATAACGCATCTAATTTTCAGTGCATACCATTAAACATTACAGCCCAACTTACTTTAGAGGCTCCATAGGTTGTCAACATTGGTGTTGGCTGACAACAGGATGCAGAAGAAACATTCACAATCGCCCCTTTCTTCTTCTCTACCATGCCCGGCAGCACAATATGCATCATCATGTTAGCAGAAGCAATATTTACGTTGATCATGTCCCACAGCATATCCTCAGACAGGTTGGTAAAATAGTCTGGGTAGGGATAAAATATTCCTACATTATTCACCAAAATGCCAATTTCTCTGTCTTTCAGAGCCTCCTTAATGGCTGGATAAACTTCACGCCCCTTGCTGAAGTCAGCTACTATGAAATCTGTTTCCACTTTATAGGTTTCAGATATGCTTCTAGATACAGCCTCCAGCTTCTCTTCGTTTCGGCTGATTAAGATGATGTTGACACCACGCTTCGCCAGTTCTTCAGCATAAGCCTTCCCGATACCATCTGTGCTACCTGTGATAGAAAATAAAAAACCAAGGTGAAAATCAGAGCAGCCCCAGCCTTTTCTTTTGCCGGTTCTTTCAATTATAGCTTTATTCCCTTCTCTGAAGATTACATGGCACTGAATATGATGATCTCAAAACCACAACAATAAAGACAATGTTGTCAAGAATCATAGAATTGCTTAGGTTGGAAAAGACCTTTAACATCATCAAGTCCAACTGTTAACCTAGCGCTGCCAAGTCCACCACTAAACCATGTCCCTAAGCACCACATCTGCATGTGTTTTAAATACCACCTGGCATGGGGACCTAACCATTTTCCTGGCCAGCCTGTTCCAATGCTTGACTACCCTTTCCATGAAGAAATTTTTCCTAGTATCCAGTCTAAACCTCCCCTGGTGCAACTTGAGGCCGTTTCTTCTTGCCCTATAGCTAACTACTTGGGAGAAGAGACCAACACCCACCTTGCTACAACCTCCTTTCAGGTAGTTGTAGAGAGCGATAAGGTCTCCCCTCAGCCTCCTTTTCTCCAGGCTAAACAACCCCAGTTCCCTCAGCTACTCCGCATAAGACTTGTGCTCTAGACTCTTCACCAGCTTCGTTGCCCT